GAAAACATGTGATTGTGATTTCACTGTAATAAACAGATCTGTTGTTTGTTCTAAAACTGTTGTAAAACCATTTATAACATTGAGGACATCGAGGCTGGATGCAAGTGCGAGTTGTCTTTTAAGTCATTTAAGACAGATTTTACAGAGTCCAGAAACTGAGTAGCGGAGGTGAGTAGAGCAGATAAGTTCATGATGAAGCAAAACAGAGAGTAAAGAGAGCAAAACAAAACTAAACACAAAGAAAGACTAACTGAATAAGTCAAAATCTGAAACAAGACTGAAGAGCATTAGAAACAGAGAACAACAAACAAAGAGATCACAAGAACATCGACATCGAACAGCAGCATAAACAATGCAAGACAAACAGATAAAGCAAACACAGGGGTATAAATACACTGAGGGGAAACAAGGAACACCTGGTACTAATAATGGGGTGGGGCTACAAACTACAGACAGGTGAGGCAGATGACAAGAAGGCAACACTGGAGAGGAGACAAAGACCAGAACAACAACAAAAGCACATGGCCTACATAAACAAAAGCACATGGAACAAGAAAACAAAGGCAGAGAAACACAAGGACAGTGCAAGACAGGATGTTACATTCTTCAATTAAAAATGAAGGAAAGAAAAAGAAAGAAAAAGAACCGATGCTCCTGCTCAAATTGGTTGTGGTGGAGTTGAGTCAGAGTCCGTGATTGGACACATGTTGGCACTTGGATAAGCATCATACACCTCTCAGTGCTTTCTGATTCAATGGCCAGTGCAGCTTTGTACTCTGAAGCGAGATGCTATGGATTTCTAGCATGAATTATTATAATTTTTCCACATATTAACAATAACTCTTCTTTTTAAAGGCCTCTGCTGGTGAACTGTGGTGTACTTTAGGCTTTACTTAACAATTTTTGTGGCTTAAAAAAGCTTTTGAATACTAAATAAAGAACTGAATACCAATGTAACAAACAAATACTCGAGTATTCAAATTATTTGGGCCAGTCCAACAAAATACCTACATTTAGAGTACATTATTACTTTGAGTGGTTTTTATTCTGTATGTGTGTTCACTGTTAGGAAAGATTAGACGTAGATTATTTGTGGTACAATCAAGCTAATGTTTACGACGGCATTTTAGGGCCACTGTTAAATAAAAATAGTAGACTTCGAGAATATAGTCGTAATATTTTGAGAAAATGACATAAGATTTCGAGACAAAAGTCGTTATATTTCGAGAAAAAAGTTGCTGAATTACGACTTTTTATTAGAAGTGTCATTAATACCAGCAAAGGTCGCAACATTGTGGCCAAAGGCTTTGCAAAGTGAAGGCAGCCCCTCCTCGTGTTAAATGAGGGGCGGTGAGTTGGTGGAGTTCTACTTTCATATCGATTCACCCATAAAGAAACACTCAGTCTCCCTGTCTCTCCTGCACATCAGCACCAGCCTGTTATTAGGATAAGAACCGGCTGAAACTGCTGAGCAGGAAACCGTGTTTATCTAGAATAAAGAGCCAGACGGACTCGGAGGAAACTGTCTGTCTGTGTTGTTGAAGGAGAATCTCAGTCAGGGTCGTCTACTCGGCTATCGGGGGCTACATCTCCCCCCATTCAAAGAGGGCATGAAGTTTCACAGAGAGTGAGAATGACGATCAAAATGATCCACAGAGAGACAGGAGTGAGTGGAGCTCCGGCGCCAGGACAGCAACCGAGACCCCAACGCAATATGGCAGCCCCCCTACAGTTAGCCCACTTAATCCTCCAACTATTATGACAGGATTTGTGAAGACAGTGATTAGCTTATTATGGGTGAAACTAGTCCTGGAGTCCTGCACAGTCCTGCTCAAACACACCTGACTCAACAGATAATGTCCAGGTTTAGCAGAGAGCTGGACCTCATACCAAGTGTCACCAAAGAAGCAGAGCGCCTGACCCGGGATGGCAATGTGCTGCAAAAATAGACAAGAACTGGACACTTGAGTGGAAGGTCATCACTTCACAGTGACCGAATGCTCTTCATAGTTTTGAAGGAGGCTCATCACTCATCTGTTCATGACTAGTTCATGACCAGTGGTCAGTTCATGACCAATTCATGACTATACTGCAGCGTGTTCAAGAAATGTTCTGGCATGTTAGTTTTAGGTGGTGTTCTTCAGCATTTATTGCACTTTATTGGTTCATTTTGCTATGAAGTCTTATTGTAGAGGGCGGGGCTACGAACCACCTCAGAGGTGTCTGAATATGTGTGTGAGAGTTGAGAGAGAGAGGAGAGAGAGAGAGAGAGAGACAGAGTGGGAAACATGAGCTGGTTAGAGAGCTCTGTTAGAAAAAACTCACTGTGGCCAACAATAACTGGAGAATAAAGCACCATGACTTGTGAGAACATAGTGAGTGTGTTTACATGCACTCAATTATCCGATCCTAATCTGATTTCTGCAGTGATCCGATTATTCAAATGATCACGTAAACAAAACACTCTGATTTCTTAAATCAGAGTAAGGTCTAGAAATCTGATTAAGAAATCCAATAAAGAGAGCTGGATTTTAGCTCAGTAATCAGATTTCTCTGTGCATGTGAACACTTACTCTGATTTCTTTCGGAGTTCTCAGTCTGAGCATGTGCAAAAACAGACCGCAGTACTGGAAATAAGCGAGCAGCGTCGCTGCGAGACGCAGCAAAACACTTGTAGAGCGACACTGAAACCAAACACATGCTTGATGAAATGAAGGATTTAAATATTCTTCATCTTCTAGATGATGTACGTTCATATTTTCAGGTAAAGGGGGTCGATGTTTCAAAAAAAGACAGCATGAAGTTTGTTTTACATTATTGGCAGGTTTCAAAGCAGAAATCTGATTATTGCCTGATTCATGTAAACATAAGGTTTCCCCATTATCTGATTACTCAAGTGCATGTAAACGTGTTGATCTGATTACTCACAAAATCTGATTTTATGCAGTTGTTGGATTATTAAGTGAATGGAAACACAGTCAGTGTCCCTTTTAATGCTACAATATTAATAATCTTCCACAATCAGAAGATCAGTAGTCCAAAACATCTCAGATAGCCAAACTACAAGTTCTAATGAAAAAAAGGGACACAAGAGAAAAAAGGGTTGTCACTTTTTACTCGAGCCCGACTCATATGGCATTTGGCTGATATCGGGTGACGCTCAGGGCTTGATTTGAGGTCAGATGGGAGGCGATGCCAAAAATGATAAAATCATCTCTATTATAATGTTTTCATTCCATTCATACGTGAGATTCCTGCATTCACGTCAGACAAATAGGTTCAGATCAGGACGGAGCACATCTACAGAAGAGGTGTTTATCACATGACTCCACTTTTCATTGGTCTTGCTGTGGAGTGTTTGGTATGGCACATACAGGGTTGCCAGGTTTGCAGTTTTCCTGCCAAACTGGGGTAGTTTGAACATGTAGACACAAGAAAATGATCAAGTTTTAGCTTTGGGAAGGAGATTTTAGGTTGGGAAATATAGCAAGATCTAAGGACTGAAAACAGGTTTGGTAACCAGTGAAAAGTGAAGTTAATACAGCTAAAAAATTGGAGCTTATAATCTTCAGGGATTGTCTTAATATTTAACTAAATAAAAGGTAAAAAAAAATATATTAAAAAGTCAGAATTGACTATTCAGATGTTTTAAGTAGTTGCATGTAAATAAAATGTGTTGCATCAACACAGTTCTGACCCACAGATGTAAATGGAAATCAATAGAGACAATACATATTAATTCATTTCTAATAGCACAGAAAAGTGGAGAAAGAATGATTTATATGTAAATATAAATATATAACATCAACACAGTTGCTGTCTTTTAGTTTCGTTTATTCATATGAAACCAGCCGATGCATTTAAATCACTCTGTTCACTGTTCAGTGCTATTAGAATTAAAATTAATTAATATTAATCAAGTACACACTTAAAAAAGATGATTCTTTAGGGTTATTTAATAAAGGCAATGGTTCTATTTAGAGCCATGAGTTCTAAATGGATCTGTGCATGGTGAGAAGGTTCTCTAGACTGATGGTGAACATGTTGTATATGGTTCTCTGAGAAAAATAAAGGTACTAAACTGTCACTGGGTCAGTCCCCCTCTTGTCACTGGGGTGGAACCCTCAAGGGCTCCATCTCAGTACCTTTAGTCAGGGAACATAACTGAACCATAATCCACTGAAATGATATGTTCTAAGCTGTACTGACTCCACACACCCCGTCTCGTCTCCAGGCTTTTATTTTACTGTTCTGTTTTAAAACATTCGGTTATGAAAAGGTACAAATACGAACTTTTCACCTGGATAAACTTATTTAAGGTTCACAATCAGACCTTAAAACCACCGTTGGACCTTTGAGGGAACATTTACATTGTTTGTACCTTGACGAACGAAAAATGTACCTGAACAGAACCTTTATTTCTAACAGTGTGTAGCACCAAAAAAGGTTCTGCTTTCATTACGATGTCATGCTTGCAACAACAGCAGAACCCTTTTTGTGCTATGTAGAACCACATACAACACATTCACCATCAATCTAAGGAACCTTTTTACCAGGCAAAGATCCATCTAGGCATGAAATGGTTCTATATAGAGTTCTCCTTACCAAAGAACTCCTGAAGAACCATCTTTTTTAACAGTGAGTGGACACTGATCTGATCTGATCCTCAGGAAGTGTTCCTGTTAAAATGAGCTCATTTTAAAGCTTAAAAGAAGAAATATCGGAGTATCGATATCGGACGATACTCACTGTTTCAATATCGTGTCACCTCTAAAGTCACTTCAGCCCCTTAACACAGTTCACACGTCATTATTTAAGCTTTTTGATCAAAATGAAGACGAACAAGGAGGTTTGTTTCACCAACAAGCTAAAAAAAAATCAACTGTATTTTATATGGAGGTTATAAAGTCTGTATATGATGACTTTGCTCTATTTGAGTTACAGTAAATGTGCTGTGTAGCTAAATTAACCTTATTAAACATCACATCTCGTCTGCTTACCTTGTTTTTCTTCTCTGGTGTGTGTAAATGGAGGTGTGAGGGGTCAGTTTGGGTCCAGCAGAGCTCCCATTCACCTCGTGTGGTCAGCAGAACAGCCTCACTCTGATCTGTAGGACCCCTTAACTGGGCTTTCACTGCGTTTTTACTCTGAGAGCAACAAACTTTCGCTGGAGCTCCTCGACCACGCGCCTCACTCACTCACGAGCCTCACACACATATACACGCGCGCACGCCCGCACGCGCGCACAGTGGAGGTGACGTTCTGTCGCAGGTAAAAATCACCAAAACTACAGCTTCGTTTTCCCGTTCAGGAGAGAAAAATCACTGGAATTGCGTTTCTGAATGTTCTTCTTCCTGTAAGTGGCCGAGCTGATCTGAGCTGAGTTGAGCTGAGCGCTCCAGAGCGCAGAGACTGTAAGGGAGCGTCTGAAAAGAGCAGGGCGTTTTATACACCAGCTAAAAGAAAGCTAAGATGGAATAACATCACGTGTCTTTAAAGGCAGCAGCGTCCTGCTGGTCTGCTACAAGGCCCTGTTCTACAGAACGTCTCTTTGAGGTTCAAGGGTTTTTTGTTGATCTCACTGCTGTGTTGTTAAGCACAGGGTCAGACTAAGACCTTTGGTGCCCCCTGGGCATTGGAGTCGCCCATCACCACAAACTTTGTAACCTCCCTGCCTTTCACAGCACTGATCCACTGATAATGACCTACGACTGGTGTTCCCAGGCATCTGTGTCAATGACATTTCTACATCTATCTGTCCACAGTGATGAAACAGACTCATCGCAAGTTATCACAGTTGTTTGATTGAAGTAGCCACTGCCAAGGGTGGCACAACCAGTTATTAGGTTTAGTGGGGTAATTACTTTTTCACACAGGTGATACAGGTTTTGAATATCTTTATTGTCAATAACTGGAAATGGAGTGATCATTTAAAAGCTGCGTTTTGTGTTTACTCATGTTGTCTTTATCTTACATTAAAATTAGTTGGATGATCAGAAACGTTTAAATGTGACAAATTAGCAAAAATAGAGGAAATTGGGAAGGGGTAAATACTTTTTCACAGCACTGTATAATACAATCCCATTTCCAAAAAAGTTGGGACGCTGTGCAAAAATGCAAATAAAAACAAAATGCAATGATGTGCAAATCATTTGAACCCTATATCTCATTGAAAATAGTACAAAGACAACATATCAAATGTAGAAACTGAGAAATTTTATTGTTTTTTGAAAAAAATATGCCCATTTTGAATTTGATGCCAACAACATGTTCCAGAAAAGTTGGGACAGGGCAACAAAATGCTAGAACAGTTGTGTGATGCTAAAAAAACACTTGGTGGTTAATTGGAAACAGGTCAGTAACATGACTGGGTATAAAAGAGCATCTCAGAGAGGCGGAGTCTTTCAGAAGTAAAGATGAGGAGGGGTTCACCACTCTATGAAAGACTACATGATCAAATAGTGCAACAATTCAAGAATAAAGTTTCTCAACATAAAATAGCAAAGAACTTTTGCTTTTCATCATCTACGGTACATAAGAACATTAAAAGATTCAGAGAATCTGGAGAAATCTCTGTATGTAAGGGACGAGGCCAAAAACCAGTATTTGCTGGCCGTGATCTTTGAGCCCTCAGGCGGCACTGCATTAAAAACAGACATGATTCTGTAGTGGAAATCACTGCATGGACTCATTATTTGGAAATCATGGAAATCATGAACACCGCATTCTCCGGGCTAAAGACTGTCAGACTTGTTATCCACCTCAGGCTTGTTATCAGTGCACAGTTCAAAAGCCAGCATCAGTGATGGTATGGGGGTCATTAGTGCACATGGCATGGGTGACTGGCACATCTGTGAAGGGACCATTAATGCAGAATGATAAATACAGGCTTTGCCAACATTTGCTCCCATCTAGATGACGTCTTTTTCAGGGAAGGCCTTGATTATTTCAACAAGACAATGTCAAACCACATTCTGCATGTATTACAACAGCATTGCTCCGTTTTAAAAGAGTCCGGGTGCTAAACTGACCTGCCTGCAATCCAGACCTGTCACCACTAAAAACATCTGGCACTTTATGAAACAAGAAATATGAAAAAAGAGAACTCTGAACTGTTGAGCAGCTGAAATTCTATATCAGACAAGAATGAGAAAACATTTCACTTTCAAAACTACAGCAGTGTCTCCTCAGTTCCCAAATGCTTACAGAGTGTTGTTAAAAGAAGAGGTGATGAAGCACAGTGGTAAACAGGCCCTGGAATGTGTTGTTGGCATCAAATTCAAAATTGGCATATATTTTTCAAAGAAACAATAAAATTTCTCAGTTTCAACATCTGATGTGTTGTCTTTGTAGTATTTTCCTTTAAAAATGTGGTTCACATGATTTGTTTATCATTGCATTGTATTTTTATTAACATTCACTAACAACTTTTTTGGAAATGGGGTTGTATGTATGTATATATATATATGTATACGTGTGTGTGTGTGAATACATATATATACATATACATATATATATATGGCCAAGCTACTGTGTGTTTAATGTGAGACCAAATATTCTTGATAGGGTTTACATCTGGACTCTGACCAGCCCAAACCACCAGTAAAAAAACATTATAGTTTGGGCTTGGCCCATTGTTTGCATGGGAGTGTATATATATATATACTGTCAGGCATATAAATTGACATGTTGACAAAGTTGTTGTTATTGTAGCGCTGTGTACCACAGCATATTGGAATTCAAATATTAGCTCAAATGGTGGAGGTGGCCTTGTGGTGTGGGCATGTATCACTGCCAGTGGAACTGGTTCCCTTGTATTTGTGGATGTTGTGACTGCTGACAAAAGTGAGTGTACAGAACTATATTACCTGTTTAGATTCAGCCAAATGCTTCAAAACTAGTTGCCCGATTCTTCACAGTGTGGATGGACAATGACCCAAGGCATACTGCGAAAGCAACTTGAGACTTTTTAAGGCAAAGATGAGGAATGTTCTGCAATAGCCAAGTCGGTCACCTGGCCTCAGTCCAATCAAGCATGGATTTCTCTTACTGAAGGCAAAACTGAAGGCAAAACACCCTAAGAGCGTTAAGACAGCTCCACTAAAGGCCTATTTATGATAATGTTAGTTTGTCTAATTACTTTTAAGGGCCTAAAATATGGATGAAACTGGTTGCAATTCCTACACCATTCACTCGATTTGGATGTAAATATCCTCAAATTAAAGCTGAAACTCTGCACTTTGCTCATATTCATCTATAATTTCAACTCCCATTTGCTGTGGTAGACAGCTAAAATAACAATAACTGTCAACATCAAAATATTTATGGACCTGATTGTTTATCCAGTTACAGAAGTGAAGTGCAAACCCGTCAAAGAGAGTCTGTTAGCAGCAGCCTGTGATGTTCAACTGGCAATTCTTCATCTGGGTGGATTTAATGGGATTTCGGAAATAACAGCTCAGCTTTTTTAAGCAGAGATTTGAAGCCACGTTGTTAATATGAGAGACCTTTTAGACCAATATTCAAACTGGACTCTCACACTCAGTACTCTTAATAGCGAATGTGAGAAAGTTTAACAGTGGGTGAGAGAGAGTTTAACAATGAACAGGAGAGAATTTAACCCTTGTGTGGTGTTCAGGTCTGTGGGACCCATTTTCAAAGAAAAAATGATGTGATTTATTATTATTTCACCCTCAGATTCTTGTCCTTTGCTCATTTTCTGTGAAGAACATATAAAATAACCCATTTTCAGTGTCTTCACTCTGTTCACCCCCCACACATTCATATTACACATGTGGTGTTGGGTGAACCTGTGGGGAGTAAAAGTGTGGAGGTGCTGTGTCCTTCACTCTGTTCTTCTCCTACATGGCCTGCTGTTAGTGTGTGTGTATCTGTGTGTGTGAGAGAGTGGACAACATGGTCAGGCTGCTGACTGGCTACAGCTGCTAAAGGAGAACCCTACGCTGGACACTTGTGATATTTTAAACATCTGGTATTTTTACATAAATTGTTTTGGCTGTATTGATTTAAAAAACAATAATGTGGTGGGTCCGTCGGACCACTGAGTAACAAACACATCAACACCACACAAGGGTTAATAGTGATCTAGAGTGAGTTTGACAGAGTGCATGAGAGGGGTTGATGGTCATGTTTTCTGATTGGCCCAGAGAGTTATTATTTAAATTAGCAGCTTCTGATTCACTAATGGCCAAGTGTGCCCGTCCCCCATTTGTGGTTAATTTCCTAAGAAGTAGTACAATCTGAAAAACGATGGTCCTTCAAGCGTTCTTTAGTAAAGACCATGGTTCTATATAGATCTAGAAAACCTCAAAGAACCATTTGCAGTGAAATGATCTTAATTCTAGTCTGTATATCTAATATTTCTTTTTTTGAGATGGTTGTGCACGTATTACAGGATTATTTACCTCATTTCTAGACATTTTTACCTGCTTTAAATGATTTTATTAAGTAAAATTATCTCACTGTACTGGCAGATAATTTTGTTTGCTTCAAGCACATTTCTTAAAACAAGCAGAATTATCTGCCACTATAGTATAGTACTTAATAAAATTACCTAAAACAGGTAAAAACTATTTGGAAATAAATTAAATAATCTTATAATAAGCTTACAACAATCTTAACTGGGGAAATATTAGATTTATTGAGCAGATTTAAGATAATTTTACATGACAAGATACTATTTTTTGCAGTGTGCATGAATAAATGGTTCTTTGCATGGTGAAATGGTTCCTCAGACTGATGGAGAATGTGGTGTAGATGGTTCTACATAGAATCCTTTTCATATAGCACCAAAAAGACTTCTGCTGTTGTTTTGATGTCAAGCTTGTAACAACAGAAGCCTCATTACGCAAATCTGATTTTTACTCAAATCCGATCTCTCTGACTCGATGGTTCACACTGGTTTAGGTAAGTGATTCAAATCTGTCATTAATGTGATGAACCGGCGTCCTGAAATGACCCTCATGCGCACATCCTACTCAGTAACGTCACATGAATGAATCACGTTCATCATCAGCACAAACTAACGAGCAGAACGAGCTTCGCTGAGAGGATAATTAACTCTGATCAGCTCTCAGCTTCATTATTAGAGCGAGACGAAGGAGAAAAAGGTGAGATGAGCTGCTTTTCCACTGTTTACAGGCTTTAACTTCTGTTCGGCGCTGCTGCCATGGTAACGCTGAATGATGGCGCAGTGGAAAAAAGCGCATGAATTCCTATCTGAGCGTCACATTAAGGTCACATGGCCACAAATCGGATACGTATCCGATCTAGGACCACATATGAAAGTGGCTCAGGTCGGATTTGAAAGGATCAGATTTGTGTGTCCACACAGCTCTGAAAACATCAGATCTGAGTCACATTAGGGAAAAAAATCTGATTTGTGCCACTTCAGTCTGGTAATGTGAACGGAGCCTAAAGGGCCTCTGATATATACTCACCACATTCCTGTTCTTACCATTCTTTCAGCCTGTAGTGACAACCAGAAACTACCTGTTGTCCCA